CACTGCTGGGTGGCACAGGTGGGCGGCACTGCTGGGTGGGCAGCATAGCACAGGTGGGCGGCATTGCTGGGGACAGGTGGGCAGCACTGCTGGGGACAGGTGGGCGGCACTGCTGGGCACAGGTGGGCAGCACTGCTGGGCACAGGTGGGCGGCACTGCTGGGCACTGATCATCAGGGCACTGATGATCAGGGCTGATCTGTTTGTAGACAATCGCCGGTTCTTGGCAGTACTTTCCTCATGCTGTGACATTGTGAGAAAAGTGCAGCCGATAACAGGCAACTGTATTTACCTGGTGATCTGCTGTGTCATTGGACACAGCTGATCATGTGGTAAAAGGCTGATGTGATTGGCCTTTTACCACATTATACGATCAGCTGTATCCGTAGGACACAGTGATCGCGGAGATCGCCGGGTGCGCGCCCCTGGGGGCACGCAGGAGGGGGTGTTCTGGGAGGACGTCATATGATGCCCTCCCAGAACTGGACAACCACACTGTAGCCGTAATTCGGCTATAGCGCAGTGAGCAAGTGGTTAAATAATGTTCTTGCTATAGGTGTAGGCCATTTATGTACCTCACGACGCCTGACTGGAAAGCTCCCAGGATGCTGCTTGGACATTGCTAAGAGATACCTAGCTGTTACTGCTCACTTCCACCATCACAGGAGTGAGCTCTATCTCTGATTCAAAGCCCCTCACATGCACTTTCTCTTCCCTGATACAGTAGCTCTGAGCTCAGTGTTTGAGAGCTCACTCTTGTGATGGTGGAGGTGAGCAGTAATGACTAGGCCTCACTTAGCAACATCCTGGGAGTAGTGCACTCAGGCTGCATGAGGTACATAAATGGCCTACACCTATAGCAAGAGCATTATTCAACTTTAGTCAGAGCTCCACAGCCTGTGTTTATCTACTCCTGTGATGGTGAAAGTGAGCAGAATTAGCTAGGAATCTCTTAGCAACGTCCTTAGTAACATCCTAGGAGTATTCCATTCAGGCTCAATGAGGTACATAAATGGCCCACACCTATAGCAAGGACATTATTCAACTTTGGTCAACGCTGCACAGTTTGTTTTTATCTTCAGATGCCCTGGCCTTTTCTGCATAAACAGTTTTAGGTAAAGGTGAACTATGCCTTTAACCAGTTATGACTGCCCACCTGCACTGTACTGTGGATGGGCAAAGAGACGTACGGGTATGTCGCTGCCTAATTCTGGGCTTCGGGTGTGCATGCCCCTCCAACCAGCACCCATTGTGATAGTACACAGCGGGAGCCTGTCAGCAATTCCTAGACCAATGATTCACGGTCGGGACCTGCTGATCGGCTGTGTCCAATCACAGCCCAGAGCTCTGTGTTAGTAAAGAGAGCTCTGTACAGAGGGAGCAATCTGTCAATTTCTCATTCCTGCCTTTGCGGGTGGGAAGCTTAGAGATTGTTTAGTAAAAGCAGCACACATTACACATAGTTAGGCACACATTTAACCCCTTGATTGCCCTAGATGCTAACCCCTTCCCAGTCAGTGTCATTAGTACAGTGACAGTGTATAGTAGTATTGTTTCTGATCACTGTATTAATGTCACTGATGATGTCAGTGGCAGTTAGTCAGTGGCAGTTATACCCCGTACACACGATAAGAAAATCGTACGAAAAATTTAGCGGAACCACTGATCAAACGATTTTCTCTTCATTGATGAGCAGGATGTTTTAACTGGTAACAATATTATCAACAGAAAAATCTGGTCGAACAATAGTGAAAAATGTCGTTTTACATACGAACAACTGATTTTCTATGCGGCGGTATGACGGTCGTACGAAAAAAAAAATCTATCAAGCGCTATCACGAATGAGCGGAAACAGAAGATGACCCGGATGTTTATGTTCAAGGAATCTTTGTAAAAATGAACGAAAAATCCAAATGTTAAAAGTAGATTGGCCAATGAGATAATAAACCAGAATTCTGCAGATTATATTTTACGTATCACTATTTATGTATATAGGTCATGTAATAAACGATATTATACTCATTGCTGGTAATTGTGTATATCGTTCGTTCTGGCTGGAAGGGCGTGGCTACAAGGTCACACGCACACCGCATCACTTCCACTTGTACAAGACGTCAACACTACGTATTGCCCGACGAACAATATTTTTAGATTGGTTAATGTGGGCCACAATTTCGACCAATGAACGAATGCCTCTCGGTCGTCAGGTGACCGATCGGTCGATTTTCTAATCGTGTATTCCCACCTTTAGTATCAGATTGCCCCGCCGCACTCCCACAGTCCCACTAGAAGCCACTGATCACCGCCATTAGTAGTATAAAAAGGAAAAAAAGAAAATTCCAGTATATGTACCAGAGTTTGTAGATGCTATAACTTTCATGCAAACTAATCAATATACACTTTTTTTTTTAAGACCAGGCATTTTCTGGCACTTTTTATTTACAAGTTTAAATCAGTATTATTTTGCTAGAAAATAACTTATAACCCCCAAACATTATATTATTTTTTTTAGCAATGACCCTAGAGAATGAAATGGAGGTTGTTGCAATTTTTTATCTCACATGATATTTGCACATTGGTTTTTCAAATGCAATTTTTTCGGAAAAAATACACTTTAGTGAATTTAAAAAAAAAACACACACAAAATATACCCTGATTTGTTTTGTAAAATATGAAAGAGGATGTTATGGCGAGTAAATAGATATCTAACATGCCACATTCTATTATTACTCACGCTCGTGGAATGGTGACAAACTACGGTACTTAAAAATCTCAATAGGCGACGGTTTAAAAAATTTTACAGGTTACCTGTTTAGAGTTACAGAGGAGCTCTAGCGCTAGAATTATTGCACGCGCTTTAACGTTCGCGGCGATAACCAACATGTGTGCTGGAACCACCATTTACATATGCATGCGCGATTTATGTATGCGTTCTCTTCTGTGCATGAGCAGAGAGGGATGGGGGCACTTTAAAATATTTTTTTCTTAGTTATTTATTTTTATTTTTACACTGTCCCTTTATTTTTTTTATCATTTTTATTCCCATTACAAGGAATGTAAACATCACTTATAATAGAAATATGCATGACAGGTCCTCTTTAAGGAGAGATCTGGGGTCAAAAAGACCCAGAACCTTTTCTTTACCTTTAAAAGCAAAAGATAAAAAAAAATATTTTTTTTTTATCTTTCGCTTTAGAAAAGAAAACAAATTGTTTACATCCGCTGCCAAGTGTTGTCATGACATCGCTCCGGTCCTCCATCATGGTATCAGTGACCATAGAGTCTCTCAAAGCCTCCATCTTCAGCCAGCCACACCGTCGGATCATTTCTTGGGCGCGCTGGTTTTAGCGGTAAGCCTAAGGGCTCGTTCACACTTGACTTTTTTTCCAACTCTTGCCAAACGCCCCTATAGCAGTTTGGCGTTTGTGAAGTGTTTTTAACGCTCTGCAAACGCTCCAAAAATGCCGTACGTGCAGTTTAGCGGCAGTTGGTAGGCGTTTGCCGAGCGTTAAAAATGCCCCACAAATGCCTACAATGAAGTTTGAATGGTGTTAACGCTCCGCAGATGCCTCGCAACTGCACCGCAAATGCTGGCCAGGGCAGAGCGGCACCATAGACTTGAATAGGAGGCTTCTACTCCTCCTGACTCGACCAGAGGCGTCCGTTTTACCGCGACGCTAACGCTTCCGTGTGAACAGCGCTATGTGCTGCAATGTGCAGAATTTTCAGAGGCGTTTGGAAAGCGGTAAAAAACGCTTCCCAAACGCCTGTCTGCCGCCTGCTGACAACGATAGTGTGAACGTAGCCTAAGAAAACACCAGAGTGAGGGGTGGGATGTCCCCTCCTGCCACTACAGAAAGTCGTCCGTCGGCTGAAAAAAAAAAAAAATACTGGGATTATGGCCCATAACCTCTTGACAACCGCAATGTCATACCTCCCAACTTTTTGAGATGGGAATGAGGGATACCTATTAGTTACTGTATGTGGGCATAGGACACACCCCCTGCCACACCCCTTAAAGGAGAATTATACTAAAAAAAAATAAACAATTATGTAAACCCACAAGAGCTTTTTTTACCACGACTATTCTTTTATATTGGCTTTTGAAATCTACAAATGCAGCAATTTAGAAACTGGATGAAAGGTTTAGCACTGGGAGACACTTTCTGAAAGATAGAACGTGCACTTTATATACAACTATATAGATCAGACCAAAATGAGGGGCAAATGAGGAGGAAGGAGGGACAGAGGGACTTTGTTCCAAATCAGGGACAGTTGGGAGGTATGCGCAACGTACATCCTTATTGCGGTTGTCAGGTGATTAAAGACATGTAGCCGAATATATTTTGGACAAAAATGTATGAAATTTGATTTTTTTTTAAATTATTATTTTATTGGATGTAATTTATAGCAGAAAGTAGAAAATATTGTTTGTTTTTCAAAAATGTTGGGGATCAAATACCAACAAAAGAAAGCTCTATTTTATTTGGCTACAGCATTGCATGACTGCGCAATTACCGGTTAAAGTTGCGCAGTGCTGAATAGCAAAAAAAAATGGCCTGGTCATGAAGCGGGTAAAACTTTTCAGAGCTCTGTTTTGGTAACCACGCAGATTTCCAGGCTCAGCCAACTCCTAAAGTAACCTCCCAGGGCTGTGAATGCCATGTAACCAGGCTCTGCATGCAGAAGATGCAGAATCTCCATAGTGAAACGCAGGCTCCCCTTTTTTAATATCAAAGTTGGCTCACAGAAAATGGCGGCGCCGTAGACCGCTCTGGAGACCCAAGAATGAAAAGCTAGTCAAGACCTCTAGCGGTCAGAGCGGCGAAGACCAGCAGAGAGCGGGAGCACGCGGTGCATCTTGGGGGATGTAGTCTGTTTGATAGGAGTCCATTCATGAGCGCTGTACTGAGCCGCTGGTTGGACTACATTACCCAGAATACCTCGCCTTCGGCTGTCAGAGTCCACCGAGTGAGACAGTGTGGTGGCTGTGGAGTGTGCCAGGATTCGGGGATCACACAGCAGAAGCCCTCTGCCCAGGCTGGACACCAGATGTAGGTTTGGGAAAGACTCCCCCCCCCCCCCATTCATTCCCCTCCTATGTTCTGGTGGTACCTTGTCACCTCTCCCCCTGTCCTGCTGTTTGTAGTCAGGATTTCACTGTCTCTTCCCTTTAAGTGACTTTCTTACAATCTATGTGCAACATAGAAATGGGATTTAGCTGGTCTTTGTCCCACAGGAGAGATTCCCTTTCACTTCCTCTTTTGGAGACACAACAGGAAGTGAGAGGAAATCCCCTCTTAGTTGTCACCACAATAAATGTCACTGCTGACAGATGTTTGCTCACCATCTGTTCCAGTGACAACACAACATTTTACATTTCCCCACCCTTTTAGACTACAGTCATCAGGACAAATACTGGGAATCCCACCGTGGACTTAGATACCCGACAGGGGGTATAACCCTTCCTCAGTCTGTCCAAACTGTATACAGAAGTCATGACTTTAGATACCTTTAAAGCAAACATTTCTGCAGGGGGGTGGGGGGGTGTTGAATGTAGTATATAGGGATTAGAACCCCTGTCAGCTTTTATTGCAGTCTGTGTCCCCATTAGGGAGACTCATCCTCTCTATTTGTCCTGTTTATCATTATCACTGCATGTGAAAGAAAATCCCAAATTTTGAGTTGTCACCAGTACAGGAAGAGCGGGGTATTCTTCCAGTGGGCACACTAGTTCTGGTGACAACCAGGGATTTCCTCTCACTTCCTGTTTCAGCTGTGGGAAAGGAAGTGAAGGAAAATCAAATCTCCACAATGGAACATATATATATATATAACTAATATAGGTCACACCCTCCCCAAATCTGTCTAAAATGGGAAACAAAAGAATTATGTGGCTGGAAATCTTGAGATCCTTTTTCTGAAAACGATTGGGCTAATAGTACATGGGGACACTAGCTCTGGATTCCTTGGAGGGGATTTCTGCCTATGGGACAAGAAGTGAATGGAAATCTCCCCAATGAGACACAGATGGCAAAAAACCTGACGGGATATAACCTTCCCTTACTAAATCTAGAATTGGGAAAAAAAGTTTTGCCTTTAGTTCTACTTTACTTGTGTGGATAGATCTTTATTCTGAAGAGGACTGAGCTAATAATAAATGGGGGCACTAGCTCTGGATTCCTGCATCTTGGAGGGTTCCTCTCACTTCCTGTTTTGTCTATGGGACAGGAAGTGAAGGGAAATCTCTCCAATGGGACACAGATGGTAAAAAAAAACTGACGGGATATAACCCTCCCTTACTCGATCTAGAATTAGTTCTCATTTAATCATGCAAATGGAAGCTTTGAGATCTTCATTCCGAGCATAATTGAGCTTATTAATGGGGACACTAGTTCTGGTGACAACTTGCAATCACTTCCTGTTGTGGATACAGGACAGGAAGTGAAAGGAGATCTCCCCAATGGGAAACAGATGGAGAACGCATGCGCGGTAAGAATGGGAGGACGTCATCAGAACGAGAGAACGTCCCTCATATTACTATATGGCGGGCGGGAGGTGGTTAACTAAACAAATATGCTACAAAGATGCTGCAAGCAGGATTTTTTACACTGTAACGGAAGCGCAGTGCCCCAGTGAGATCACCTACGTAGACATACATAGGGAAGCATTTTTCATGAGCTGTTCTTGCTTTTTTTTTTTTTTTTTTTTACAAAAAAACCTCTTCAAAAACTCCTCAGTGTTAAGGTAGCCTAAGGAGGGAATTCTTCCCAATGACCATCACACTAATGTATTATAAGTTGTAGATTTGGTCATTTTTAGCAGGGGTTCCTTGAGACTAAAAAATTATTTCATGCTGAAAGGGTTGAGAAAGTCTGATATAGATGAAAACCTTGAGATCTTTATTCTGAACATGACTGAGCTAAAAAATGGGGACACTAGTTCTGGTGACACTTTGGAGGAATCTCCTCTCACTTCCTGTTTTGGCTATGGGACAGGAAGTGAAGGATAATCTCCCCAATGGGATCATTGCATGTGAAAGAAAATCACAAATTTTGAGTTGTCACCAGAACAGAAAGAGAGGGGGAATCTTCTAATGGGGACACCAGTTCTGGTGACAACCAGGGATTTCCATTCACTTTCTGTTTCAGTTATGGGAAAAGAAGTGAAGGAACATCTTCCCAATGGGACACAGATGGCAAAAAATCTGACGGGATATAACCCTGCCTTACCATATATCAGTGGTTCTCAACCTTCCTAACAGTTCCTCATGTTGTGGTGACCCCCAACCCTATAATTATTTACCAAGTAATTATAATTCATGAGTTGTTTTACCTCCAATACTGCTGCTTTCAACACAGTGCTGCTTTCTACACAGTAGCTGCTTTCTACACAGTAGCTTTTCTACACAGTACACAGTAGCTGCTTTCAACTGCTTTCACACAGTAGCTGCTTTCAACACAGTAGCTGCTTTCTACACAGTAGCTGCTTTCTACACAGTAGCTGCTTTCTACACAGTAGCTGCTTTCAACACAGCAGCTGCTTTCAACACAGCAGCTGCTTTCAACACAGTAGCTGCTTTCTACACAGTAGCTGCTTTCACACAGTAGCTGCTTTCTACACAGTAGCTGCTTTCTACACAGTAGCTGCTTTTCTACACAGCAGCTGCTTTCTACACAGTATAATATATGTGTTTTCCGATGTCCTTAGGTGACCCCTGTGAAAGGGTCGTTCGACCCCCAAAGGGGTCGCGACCCACAGGTTGAGAACCGCTGATATAGAGCAAGATTTCTCAACCAGGGTTCCATTGAACCCTAGTCTCCTCCAGAGGCTGCTAGGAGTTCCTTGGGCAATGAGCAATGTCTACCTTCCAGATACGTTCCCACTGACACCATTGGTCTTTTTAGCTCTCTGTAAGGGGGGAATTCTTCCCAATGACCACAAGTGTAAGGATCATTCCTCCTGCTGACCATCACACTAATGTATCATGAGTTGTAGATAGATCCCTGAGACCGCAAAGTTGTTTCAAGGGTTCCTCCATGTTGAAAAGGTTGAGAAAGTCTGATGTAGATGAAAACCTTGAGATCTTTATTCTGAACATGTCTGAGCTTATAAATGGGGACACTAGTTCTGGTGACACTTTGGAGGAATTTCCTCTCACTTCCTGTTTTGGCTATGGCACAGGAAGTGAAGGGTAATCTCCCCAGTGGGACACCAATGGCAAAAAAACCCCCAAAAAACTGATGGGTTATAACCCTCCCTTACTCTGTCTAGAACCGTGCCCTATATAACATCTAGAAGGGAAGGCTGGAACTAATGGACTTTATAGACTCACAAACTTCAAACAATAATTGTTTTTTGTTTTTTTTTTAAACCTTGATTATCTTTATTACAAAAAAGTTTATATATATATATATATTTACTAATTCATAAAAAGTAATACTAAATATACATCACAAACTGAAAAAATGTCGCACCCTAACAAGAGAAAGTGAAATACATAAACCTCCTGGCAATCTCAAAAGCTATTAAGGTACCAAAAGACCACCGATGACTGAGATGATCCTCTACATAAATATGTATGTACATTCCCAATGGGGTTTATTTTCCCGATTTCAATTGAAGTTGGCTCTACATGTTTCGCAACTGAACGTCGCTTCTTCAGGAGCTGAATGGGAGCATCTAAATGGATAAATAGGACATAGGTTTTAGATATACATATCCGCATAACACCAAAAGGTATGTCTTTACAATTGTTATATATCCTCACAATAAAAAGTAGTTGTGACGGGAGTGACTTTTGGGGGTGGGGGGACCCCTGTATCATCTCTTATGTGTAAAGGCACCCTGTGCCTGTTAGGGGGTACAGGGTGCTCTGTCGTGATATTGTGTAGACATGTATAGGTTTGGTGTGGGGGTTGTCCATTGTTCACTGCCAGGTGCTGCATCCCATTGTTCTATTGTGTCTTGCTGGCCAGCAAATTATTATGGGATGTATGTGTCCCTGTATTGTCTAATGCCATGTGGTTGTTCCCTTGTTCTATTGTGTGTCTTGGTTTGGTGGGGGGTGGTTACCAGCAGCCCTTCCCCCCAGTGGGTCGGCCTGGTGATGTGTTTTCTGTTCCTGGTTGTGTTTCCCCTCCCTGTGTATATATCTTGTGTTTGTGTAAAAATAAAGCAGTTGACTTCCTGTCTTAAGAGAGTCTGGTGCTGTCTATTTCCTGCATGATCAGCGGTGGGGTCCATGGATTTGGTTTGGAACGGGGCGGACTGACAACTCATGGGGCCCCTGTGTCCTTGCCTAAACCCAAAAAAACCCTATGAAAAAGGTACCAGGGGCATCTCATGGGGCCCCCTACTGACCCCGGGCCCTCAGGCAGTGCCCGAGTTTCCAAATGGTCAGTCCACCCCTGGTTCGGACAGGAAAGCTGGAGTCTACTGGAAATACCCAAGCACGGTCTGGGTCCGGTTCCGTTACAGTGGTATTGATTATATACCACCAAAGGAGAAGATGTGCTGGATCTGGGGGTCCAAACATGGGGGCACATTAGGAGGCCAGGGGCAGCACCATGATGCACAAATAGTTGCAGTCTAATAGGAGTGAAATACCCAAAATGATGATAGTTGCAAATAACAAAACATCCAGTCTCCAAAAGAAGTTTAGCACAGGGACACATGCCATCGAGCACAATCAACGGTTTTACAGCGGCTGTTTTTGGCTTGTGACATTTTTTTCTAAAGCCAGTAAACCCCCCCCAGCATGTTATCCTATGTGTCCATGTACACATAGACTGGAATTAATGTTTTTGGCTAGAAAACCCCCCCCCCCCCGGACTAGCGGGTTTCTAGAGTTTTTCAGCTGTAAAAACGCTCTAACGCTGAAAAACACTGCAAAATGCAGTAAAATGCCGCAAACTGTTGTTTCTGGATTTTTTTTTTTTACCCAAAACATTTTTTTTTATGGTAAAAAAAAAAAACTCTAAGAAATGCAAATGTGGAAAAAACGCCAAAAACACTAAAAAAAAGCTGAAAACTCATGTTTTTAACCACTTCC